GAATAATAATTTTAAATGATAATAACATCGATCTATAAATTACATAACGTTGACAACAAATAAATTGTATTTTAAATGAACATTATTATTGAAATTAGAAACAATTGGTAAAAATAATATTAAATAGATAATTATATTTAATTTTATTAATAAGGAATGTGGGTTGATGTCAATGAATAATATTGTTAAAATATTATGTCAAATTTAATGTCAATAACATAACAATTTTTAATATATATTTTTCAACATTTTAACAATATATTTTTAACATATGTTGCACAATGCAGGAGAATTCGTCTAGTATAAAATAATATAATGAAATTTATTAAGAAGTCTTGAAATAGAGAACATAACATTGTGACTTACCAAAGTAAAATAATTTATTTTTGTGATAATTACTTGAAAGGGTAACAAACTTTTAATTTTGTTCACATTTAATAATTGAATTTATTCGTGTTTGATTTACCCTTGAATTATTTGAAATTATTCGCATTTTATCTTCATGACCAATTGTAACCGATCATTAGGGTAAAATATGAATAATTTCAAACATTTAAAGGGTAAATCAAACATGAAAAAAAAAAACTTTTGTGAATAAATGTGAAGAAAGCCAAAAGTTCATTATTCTTTCAAGTTATTACCCCAATAATATAACTTAAAGTAAAGTAATGGTTTGAAAATATGATCCAATGCAACGCCACATAACATTCGCACAACAGTTTTTAAGTCGAAAGTCCCTAAAATAACAATTGCAAAAAATGAAATAATGAAATGTTGTGCACATGGCACAACCAAAAGTTGTAGAAATGGTTTCTTTCTTATTTAAATCTAAATCAAAAGGCTCTTCACTTTATCAAGTAGTTTGTCTGTAGCCAATTCTAGTCACTTATTGAATTTTCTTTAATTGTTTTCTTGATATGGCATTTTGCATAGGCTCTTTGGTTAAAGAACAAGCTTAAAATGTAAAGAAAAATGCATTTCTCCAACTTGTTAATATCATTATTTCTCTGAAAAGTATTATAATAATCAAATGCACTAATGTAGTGACAAATTAACGATTAAACGATAGAAAACAAAAACAATAGGCTGAATTATTCCTCATAAAGAAACAAATTTCAATTTAAGAAGCATATATTTGGTAAATCAAACTTATTAGCTATTAGTCAACTAAGAATTCAGCATTCAAGTGGTATCTATCTATATACAAAGTACACTTGCAAATTTAAAAGGGTATTATGATCAAAACTGAATAAATCCGTAATGCATCATTTCGGACAAGATGATCATTTATTTTAAAATGACGCAAATACTGATTATATAATGATAATTTCATATTTTTAATGGCCATTTTTTATCATAATAACTTTTCCTTATTTCATTTCTATCATGAGTTGGTCATAATCCTAATTTGAAGTTCTCGATCGTAAATTCGAATTCGTGTTGCGTATCCTTTATATGATCATAATCCAAAATTAATTTGTTTAATGAACAGGTAAAACCCGAATGGCTGAATAGGATTAGACAAAAATATAAACTGAAACAAAATCACAAAAAACGAAACTGAAAGACGAAATGGTTTCCGAGTGTGAATGATCGCAATCCTACAATAAAACTCTAAAATTCAAATTTACTAAGAAGTTCCAACATCAAATTACTTCAAATTGGGATTATGAGAACCAATAAACACAAGAGAAGAAGTTGGAGATGATATTTAATTTGCTAGCTAGAGTGCTTGACCAATAAAATCCCAAACTACAACATTCAAAATCTTCCAGAACTAGGACACATCGAGAGCAAATCAATCAAAGATAAACTCGAGAATAAAAACACAACAATCATATTCATAATCAGAGTACCGAGGAACAGAAGAGAGAAATCATTTGCGAAGGTGCTTGATTTTGAGCCAGCCTTTTTTGCAGGAGTTAACGATCTTCGATCCCTTACTGAAAAAGTTCTTGAGATCCTTAGCTCTCTCCTTCAACCGCTTATCAAAATCACCCATCGTTGTTGTCTTGTTGTTTTTGAATATTCGAATCGGGAGACTCTGTGGAGAAAATTTGTATGGAGGATGGATAATGGATTATAGAACAGATGAAAGGGGATAGTTTGAGATAGTTTTATTGAGAAGCCTTTGGTCCAATCACAGAAAAAAGCGTGTCGGCGATGTGAGAAAAAATTATTAATTCTTTGGAAACTTCTTTTTAGTTTTGGCAACCCTTACATTTTGATTAAGCTATATACTTTTCAAATAAAAAACTTTTCATTTGAAGCTATTTATTTTGGGAGAAATAAATAATTATTATTTTAGGGATATTGTTTACCATTAGTATTTATAATTTATTTTCATTTTCAACATATATTTATTATTTTTTTAGGATGTTAGGTGTGGGCAACATTTGTGGGGTTTTTTGTTATTCTCTTAGGCTATTAGGTGTGAGCAACGTATGTGGGGGCTTTTTGCACGTTATAACGATACAAACACCGTCCCCTCTCCCGTTTTTAGACATCATAAGCATGCACGTTGCTTTCCGTTATCACCACAACATCCTATAACGTACGTTTTCTTCTTTTTTCTTCTAAAAACGTTGGTGGGCATTGCTCATACCGACCAGTCTTATGAAAAACCATGAGTACTATTTGATGTATATATTTAGAAAGAATGGTTGTTGCATTTGGTAGTGTTGAATCATTAATCCTTGAATTTTTTTGTGAATATGCACTATAAATGTTTTTGGGCGGTGCTTATGACCATCTAGGAATTAGGAAAAAGTTAGAAGTATGTAGTTGCAATATGGCGGATGTTTCATAGTATAATATCTATGATATTTTGAAAGTTAGTTTTAACAAAAAAAAAAAAGTAGGATTTTGTAATAATACAAATAAATAGAAGTACATTGTTATTTCTTACATCTAGATCAAATATAGTAAAAATGCCATAGGTATTTTATTTTTCCAAGTAATGAAATTCGAATTCATTGCTATCACCAATAAAAAATATAAGTACATTACTATCACGGATCATAAAATATAAGTGCATTGCTATTATTGGTAAAATGTGAAGTGAGAAATAAAAGTGAATTGCTATCATAGATTAAAAAAATAATTACTAGTTGGGTAAAAATAGAGTACGTTTTGATAACTTATGTTGCTAATATGTATTAAGAAATAAAATAGGTTGTTAAAATAGAATTTAGGGCAATAATCATGTATGTAATGTTGGTTAGGGTTATTTCAGGAAAAGGAAATTGTGTCACCATTGATGATATCGTGTTGTTTGAGTAGTAGTGGTCTCATGTAGTCTTTTGACACAATTTTTAATCAATTTTTTTATTTTTAACTTTTTTAAAAAGTTCGAAAATTACCAAAAGTTGTTTGGTAAATTGAAAAGTTTTTTTTCAAAACTTTTAGCTAATAGGAAAATTTGATGGACAAAAGACAAGAATTCCTTTTTTTTTTTTTTTTTTGTGACTGTTAGCTTTTGTCACTTAACAAAACACATTTTAAAAAACCTTTCTTTTAGAAAAAGTTCTTTTACAAAATGTCTTTTTATAAAAAAGGACTTTTAAGTTTAAAAGTAATCTCAAACACACCCTTAACCTTCATTATATATTTAGAAAACATCCAAAAAAAACTTTTACCTGAAAACATCTTAATTAGCTTCATGTAAATGTTGATGCATAACATCTCAAGTATATGGCTCTTCTTTGTTTGTGGTTAATAATTTCTATTATTTGTATGCCTTTTTATTATAACAAATTAATTGAACACATAATGATTGTTGTATGGATAAATAATGTTTAACATATATGTGACAAAATTATACACTTGGAAAAATGGAACAAAAGAATAAATGAGATGAATTTTGTAAAATGTTAAGACTCAATGGGAAAAAATTACTCCATATCCAATTTCCCTTACTACATCTTTCAACAAACTACATAATATATTTGCTATGTTACCGGTTAAAACTCAAAGCTTTTATTGCTATAATTAGGTAGATTTTACAAAATATAGTGTCCTAAAATGTTTAAAAAAAAAATTACAAGTACAATGTCATATGTAATTCAGTAGATTTTTCAAATTGCAATGTTTGATAAAAAAAAAATGATATTACCTTAGGTTGTTAAAATCATAATCACCACAGGATCCTACAATCCATTTAGGTAAACTGATGCCGATAATACTAGATCGTTTTCTATTAGGATCAAAGGTAGAATTGTGAAATCATTATTATTTATATATTTTTGAATAAATTCTAATATTTTGTCATGTTGCTAACGAAATGAATCAAATATGAACCTTACAAAAACCTTTTGAATTGTCTATTGTTTAATGATATAGAAGATGTACTTTTCTTGTTTTTAACTATTTGTTATTAACCGGATGATTAACTAAATATATATGTTTTGAATTTCTTTTGGTAGAATCTACAATCCCAATTAAATTTTACGATCTTGTCTTGCAAAATAGCATTCAATGCTATACATTAGATCTTGACAAATTTAAGTATGACAATGTTGTAGTACAATTTAAGGAAACTAAATTGTTTTCATAAAAAATGTAAGCTATTTTCACATTTAATCCCAACAAAATTCAAGCTTGAATTAGGGGTCTGCACAAAAAAAAAAAAAATGAAAGTATGTTGTTATTTTTAATTGGTTGTTTTAAAACCAAACAAAACCATATCGTAATACAACATATTTTTATAGCATACATAAGTCCTGAATGCTTTTTCTTAATCAGACTTCAAGCAATTGACTTATTTGCAAGCTACAGCAAAAAGCCTTTATCTAACTACAACGAGCTAATTATAGGTATAATCTGAATCCAAGTACAAACGAAATGTGTCAAATAAATCAAAAGTCAACCAAAATATATTCGACTTTTATCAGTAATAACGTCTTTTTATCATTTAAATTGAACAATACCGAATGAATAAATTTAATTATTCGTTCTAGCTAAATCAGCAATGAATCTTTCTAACATATCAATATAAACAATCATCTAAAGCTAAATCTCAAAGATTTGCAACGTGCCTCGTCGATCGAAATGCGATTACCGGTTGTCGGCCAACAAATTGAACGCGAATGCAAATGAGGAGAAGAAAATGAAGTCGCCGGCGATAGGATCAAAGAGTCGGCGATTAGATTAGTAATGTCGGTAAGTGGTTTCCTGTACTTGTTCTTGGTCTTCTTCTTCAATGTCATCTTGGCACTAAGCTTATTACCTGTGGTTTTGGAGATTGAGAAAAATGGAGGAATGTTCTCTTTATTATCATGGTATTGGCATAAAGAGTTCATTCCCTCCATCTTCTCGATTTCCAGAGTATGAGAAACTTGACTGGAAGAGTTAATATATATGAATTAGGGTTTTGGATTTGGATTTGGAGGGATGAATTTGATATTGAAAATTTGAGGATTTGGACATTCGAAGAGGGAAAGGGAGAATCCACATTTGGGTTGGAGGAGAAACCAAAACTTGAAAAGTTTTTATGTAAATTTTGGTTTGGGGGGCAAAATCAAATTGGCGCTTGCCTTTTTCTCCGCCGTTCCACTTAAAAAAAAAAAAATCCGTGATTGTGTTAGGGGAAAATGTTTAGATATAGTTATTTAGTCGATTTGATCGTCGTTTTTATTTTATTTTTACACAATAGATAACTAAAGTTCTCAATTTACTTGTCTAATAAATAAAAAACTTTTTGCCACTTGTCAATTTTTTATGTATTTGAACTCATATAATTTTATAGTTAATTCTTAGAAATTAATTTTCATTTATCATTTTATGATAATTTTTAATTTTCATAATTAACTATCTAATTTTTATGTTATAGAAAGTAATTAATGTATTATTAATTTGTTTCGTTATATTTTTAATTTTAATATGTTTATTTCAATAAATATAATTTAAAATTGATATGTTTCTTTTAAAGTTTATTGTAATTTTAGAAAAAAATAGTTTGTATAAAAAAAATCAAACATTGTTATTTTTTATTGACAAACTAAAAAATTTGTTATCTCGTCAAAATATAATTATTTTTTTTGTAGTTTGTTTTATTAGTATAAATTGAATTATTTATTTATTCATCATTTTGTTTGTATATATATTTTGAAATTTTATTTTAAAAAATTTATAATGTTTACACTTTGATATTTAACATTTTCTTTAAAAAAATATATTTAAAGTTTATATTCTTATATATAACTTTTTTTAATCAACCCGCGTAGCACACGGGTTTTACACCTAGTATGGGAATAATCCAATATAATTTAGGTTTCATAGGTAACATATAGTTTATGTGGCTTTCTCTCTATTCTTTTTAAATTAAAAATTAAAATTTTAACTACGTGGATTCTTCTTTTTTCCATTTCCCCTTTGTTGTTAGAGGTCTCTCTCTCACACCGGTAATATATAGTTTATGTGGTTTTTTCTCTATTTTTTTAAATTAAAAATTAAAATTTTAACCACATGGCATTTTTTCCATTTCTCTCTCTCTCTCTCTCTCTCTCTCTCCACGTGTTCTTCTTACTCATGAACAACAAATTCCCGATGAATTCATATTTTAATTACAAACAACCAAATGAAAGTGCTCATCAAATGTCTACAAGCATAGTTACAATCATGCCCTTTACATGAACCAACTGTTAATCTGAATGGTTTTAAAAATCAATGGTTTCATAAGGGTTCATCTTAATCAACTATTTTAGAAATTGACGGCTTCTTGTTCATCGATGGTTACAAAACTTGATCGGTTCTGGAACTTAGCGCCAATGGATCTAGAGAAAAAGGAGTAAATGATTTACCCATCTCCATTCATCATATTGTACCTTATGTTGTACAAGTCTGATTTCCCCATCTTCACATATTTCCCTATCTTCACATACTTTTTCAGCTTCTTCATTCCACAGATTTTAGGCATAATCTACAATGAAACTACACTTGAGGTGTGAGTTTTTAGTTAACCCCACTAAGAGTTTTAAAAGAAACTGAAACCTAATATGAAACGAATTTCAAGTTCATCTTCCTACATCCTTTCACTAATGAACATGATGAACACCAAGTTTTCTTGGTGTTTGTGTGCATAAGACATATTGGTTTAAATACATACGATTTTAGAGATAAACACACATGGATCACCTTCTACTTACCTACATAAAATTGGGAAACCCACTAAGCTTTATGCTTACAGTTTTGGATTAAATATTTTGTAGGTTATTCGTGAGAAGAGCTCTGTAGGTTATTCGTGAGAAGAGCTCAGCAGGACAGTATAGTCGCATCGAAGATATTGGTTTCCACTTTTTTGCAATTCAACTTTGTTAAACTTATGGTTTTCAAACAAATGAATGTCACTTAATGATTTTAAGTAAAAGGTTATAATTGGTTAATTGTTCAAAATGAAAAATCTCTTTTGTAATTTGGGGACGTGACAAGATGGTATCAGAACCTTAGTTTGAGGGATTTAGACCCCCATATGGTGTGTCTAAACTCAAATTGAGGATTAAGAGATTTTCTATATTAAATGTTTGAAAAGTAATACTTTATTCAAAGAAACTTGAGTAAATTCGCTAGGTTAGAAACATGAGCTCGGTATTTTGTTGTGTTCTTGTTTAATTTGTGGAGTTGAGATCGTGATCATGGTTTCTTAATCTAACCTCAACTTATAAAAGAATGACGTGATACATACATTCAGTTGGAGCTCATGGAGTAAGTGATTCCCAATATACCCATATGGTTATGTATTTGTGTTATAGGTTGATATGCATGTTAGATTATATGTTAAGGATCTGCTTAGAAATTGCATGCTATAATTTCCTAATTGTATATATAGGTGCCTTATATGCCTTATATTTGTTGATTGTAGTATGTGTTGTAGAATCGTTGGATGATACTACGAAATTTCTAATCAAATGCTTAAGAGTTGTACATGATTAGAACCCAATAGCCTTAAATATTCTGATTCTGCCTTTTTACATGATCTTTTTCTAGTTGTGGTTTTATGGTGGAATCCTACAAAGAGTTTAGGAGGTCTAGTATTATGCATATGGCTAAACATATGCATGCATGCCAAGAGTTTATGGGAGTGATGCGAATTGACTTGGAAATTTTTAAACAATCATTGGAGAGAGTTTGGACTGGTGTGGAAGGTAGTATGGTATCATACTACTGAAAGCACATGATCAATACTTGGGTCAAAGAAGTGTTATAAAGATATCAAGGAACTTGTGGGTGGGTATGCATAGTATGGTGATCATTTGTGATGAAGATGCACCCCTAAATGAGAGGAATGTCTGTGACATTATCATTGTAGAGGTTTTAAGGTTCATGTTGGAGGATTTTCCTAGCATGATCAGTTCGATCAATGATAAGTTGACTTCAATGGTTGACGAGAGGTTTAGGATTCTTCAGGCTGATTTGGAGGTCAGTCGACTTAGGACTCGTGGTGTCACCTTTCGGAAGTTTGATGCTTGTGGGGCTCCTCGGTTCATGAAGAGTAGGGAGCCTATAATTAGTATGCATTGGATTGCCAATGTTAAGAGTGCCTTTCTCGACAACTTTTGTCCGTCCAAGAACAAGGTTAGATTTGAAGTGTGTTTGTTGTGTGATGGAGCTAGGGATTGGTGGTGTGAGGTTATTTGAGACCTCAAAACATGCGGTTAGGTCTATGACATGGGAGGATTTTGTTACCAGGTTCAAGAGAGATTTTGTGCCAACGACCGACGTTTAATAGTTGTCTTGGGAGTATTTGGCACTTAAGCAGACTATAAAGATGATGACCAAGATCACTGCCAAGTTCATGGAGTGAGCGTTGCTTTGCCCATAGTATGCAACGACAGAGGGGATGAGGATGACTCATTATCATGATATTTTAAGGTCGAAGATCTGTGAGTTCGTAAGCATTTTCCAATTGTGAGACTCTTTCTGATTTTGTGGAGGAAGCCAGGGATAGAGAACTGGAGTTGGAGACCTAAAACGGAAGGGAAAGAAGAATTAGGTTCACACATCAGTATCATTAATTAAGAAGACCAAAGTGACTGACGTTCGGTCGGGGATCAACGAATTTGTGGATTTTTTTGCACGTGTGGTTTGGCACACTGGTGTGTTAGATGTGATCAGGAGGGTCACTATAGCTGGGATTGGAGTAAAAGGAAATCGAGGGTATGTTTCTTTTAAAGTCAGACATGCCATGTTAAGGTTGAGTGTCAATAGAGAGCGGATGAGATGGTTTTGGATCCTGCACCTATAGCTTGGCAGTTATCAGATGGATGACGTGGGTCAAATGGACTCCCAAGGGCCAGTGGTGGTTGTCGAGGCCAACAAAATTAATAACCCTAAATCTTTTATACTAAAATAGTGTATAGCAGTAAAGGGGTCGATCCACGGAGATTGATTCAGTTTTATAACTCTATGAAAAATCTCTTTGTAAATACACTTGTAAAATGACAATAGAAGTAAAAATGGGGGGTTTTGATCTTTTGAAACACTTGAAGTAAACTAGGATTAAACTAAGATTTAAATAGACAATTTCAACAAAAACAAGAGTTTGATGTAAAACCAATAACAGAAAGATGGTTGACTTTAGGTTTCCTCACTTTGACTGTTGATGAACATATCATTAGAATCCAATGGTGCAATACTTCTTTTAAATCCTTAATTTGGTTATAATAATCTAAGAAGCTTAAGATTACCTAGACTTTTCTTAGTTTTTGAAATGGTTAGAGAAGCTCATAACAACTTCCTTAGTCAAAGTCATAATTTCCATTAAGCATGTAATTAGTGAAAGTCAGTTAGCATTAAAAACTAAAAAGTCACCAAATCCAAACGGAGTCAAATGCTTCCACTACCATGTTGGAGGAAATGTTTTTATGATTGTGTGAATCAAAACTAACACATAAATCATATGTTGCTTGCTAATTTGAGGATCTTTTAATTAATCAAGAAATTAGTCAACTAATCACCACAAACACATTTAAACTCATGAATAAAAACATATAAGTAGTGATAATATGTTCAAACACAAAACATTCCATAAAGATTCAAGAACAAGTTTATGAAATCTTCACCATTTAACAACTAGTCAAAAGATTTCACCAAAGTCTACCAATTTTGGTTTAGCCTAACATGGCTAAACACAAGAAAACAAAGTTAGAAGAGATTGTACCAAACATTGAACAAGATTAAGAGCAAAAATGATGAAGTTATTTATGGTTCTTGGCCTTCAAAGTGCTTCAAAATTTCCAGAGAATTGCTCCAAAATCGGATGTGCAAAAGTCTCTTAAAGTGGCACACCAACCTTCCCAATATAGAGCCCTAA